GTTCTATCTTTCTGGGGGCTATAGATGTGGAAAATCATCACCACGGTGCCAGGAACTTCGACAGCTGAGACAGCATCTCGGATGAGGGCAGAAATGGAAGTGTTCGATGGAACGGGCCAAACTGGGAATATAAGCATCGAAAACAGGGATTCAATATGATTTGATATGATTCAATATGACTTGACATGATATGATTCAATACGATTTAATGTTTGTTTAGCAATCAATAACGGGGAAATTAGCAGTAAATAGTTTCACAACTATAGTATACAACAATAGATGTTAGACCATTTCAGTATTGAAACAATTGAACCCTATGGGTTTTGGGAAGTGTAGGGTACCCCCTCCATTGTGGGAGGCTGCAGACATATCCAATCAAAAATCTAGGGTAGTAGCAACAGAACTAGGGAATAACAAAGAGTGTTCTTCACATTTCATCCGAACAGGACGGACGGCTTGGTGGGTTCAAACACGTCTTATTGTGAAGCCCAAAAATGAGATCAGTGGTGGGCCAGAGCCGACTCATATTCCCGCTTTCTTTTCGGCTCCTGTTTCATCTGGATAGTGTGCCATGCAAGCTTGTTTCTTGGATCTGTTGCACCTTCATACTTTCACCAAGGTGATGTGAACATTTTTCAATACGTTTCATGCCTTCAAGACTTCAAGCTGGCTCATATTGAAAGTTGACATCAGTTGACATCTACCTTTTCCATCCTTGTCTATTGTCTCAGATCTCGTCCCCGATTTCGAATTTTTCGTGCGCTTCCAGGATCTTGCGAGATCGAATCTCCCAGATGAGGTGCGGATCAGCCTGGCAGATGAAGTTCTTGGTCCCCCAAAACCACATCAGCTAAGGACAGTTAATGACATATCAAAAATACACATCTTTCAGCCTTTCTTACACATTGACAGGGATTTGATCATTTGATCATATTTCCATATATTTCCTCCATTTAATGTCATCACCTCATGTTTCAATATGTTTCCGCCATTGGTTTCATGCATTTTGATGCATTTCGTGCTTCTTGAGGGGAGGACAGCTTTTTTCTCCCCAAAAAAGACACAGGGATCGCAGGGGTTCTTTTGATGCTGGTTTGGCAGGAGGCTCATGGAGGCTCAGGCCTTGAGCCAGGACCATGGATCCACGGCAACTCATGGGCTAAATTTTCATATTTTTTCCAGACTTTACTGGGGATTGCTGAAAAAACCGCAGCTTTCGTCTAAATCGTGCCTTCAACCAATCATTCCATATTTCAATAGTGGGACTTTGTTTTTTTTTCCCATAGTTCAAATAATCCTGTGATATGTTCAACATATTTCAACAATCACAACCACATCCAGAGCTTAATATATTCAAGTCATTCAACAGCCCTTCGGGCCCTTCATATTTAACGTCTATTAACCATGGTTTTTGTCGGGAAGTTCCACATCATTGGGACCTTCAGCTCTGAAGGCAGCCCGAGAGTGTTGGGACCTCAGGAATTTTTTGGGGTCTGCAGAGGCGACCCAAGGCGATTTCACTGATTTCACAAATCAATTGTCGGTAATTGAACTTATAAATTATTCGAGTAGTCCCTTTTGAATATAATATATATATATATTATATTATATTATATTATATTATATAATATTATATTATATTATATTATACAAGTATCTTTAATGTAATGTTGTACACCAGATGAGAAGCACGTTTTTTCTTGTGATGGTTTCTAATACCCCAAATGGCAAAATATTGGCTTAATAGGGTGGGTTTGTGGGATTGGTTTTACCACGTTAGCAAAAATTGGTTCACATTCAACAGCGGCATCCCCCCGCTGGTGCACAGAATGAGGTGAGCATCCATTGATGGAGGGTTGGCGCGATCCCTGAGACTTTCGAAACCACACCTTGCACCGCATTTGGGTCCAAAAATGGGGGATAGGATGGGATACCCGATACCCATGCCAACTTTCCCCAGGAAAAGGACGGTTAAAGCATCAAATTTCAGGTACCCTATTTCAGACATGTTCCTTTTTCCATTGCAATCATTTGAATCGCCTGACCATGACTTTTCAAGGTTTCCAATTCTCTGATTTCTGATAAAGATAGAACGCTTCTTGTAGCACAATTCAGTGCAGTGTGTGTGTGTGTTGGGGTCTCCCTTGTTCCTTTTTGAACAAGTACAAAAGAAGTGCCTGCTGATTTGGCTATGGGCCAACACCTATACTTCCACATCATTCAGGAAATCAGCAAGTGTTGCATCCATTTCCCAGCTATATCTTGACGCGGAGACCAGGCGGCGTTCCCATGGTTCAAAAGTCTCGGTGTCAGCTTCGGGTCTTTTAACAGTTGTTTAACACAGCGGGTGCCCACGTCGTCGAAGGACAACTGGAGCCCCTGTGCGTTTCACCAGTTTTCCCATCAGCTTTTGTTGCTCGATGGTCACTTAAAATGGAGCGAGTTGTGACGAAGCTGAATTGGTTAGATGATGCCAGATGTATATTTTCATCATTTTTTATCTGGCTCATTAGGGGTTGAGAGGTTAGTATGGTTGTGGGTCCAAACCCTGTATCCGCGATGAACACCAAAATGCTGATAGATAGATGTTCACGCTTCACGCTACCCAACATGGCATTAATAATAAAGGGTTTTATGTGGTTTTATGACCTATACACCTCTTGAATGCTCCAATGTTTCCAACAATGAGTACTGTATGAGTCAAGATTGAGCTCCCCTCTCAAAATCAGATGCTTTGACCTCCAGTAGGACCCACCACTCCACCCGTGGCGACAGCGACAGCGAACATTTCTTTCAACATCGGCATCACCGGCGGCAGGCGGAGGATCCGAAGACTTCACGAAAGCGATGTGATGATGTCTCGCCAGCCGGTTGCATAAGGCCCTGTCTTAGTCCATTGCTTTGATCAGATGATCAGCCAATCTATGGGAAATTATGGGAATATTGACTATTGCTACGGCAATATTTTATGATCAATGAATCTAATTCCAATTTGGGTTTTATTTGGGTTTATTGTTCACCACACATGGAAATGCCATGATGATCCATGACGTCTGTGCTTCCATCCACTTTGAAGATATACTGAGGCACGTGGCCAACATGGGGACCGGGGGGTGGAGCTGGAAACTGCGGTGCTGCTTCTCTTTGGTGATATATAAGTTAACCAAAAATGGGTGAGATTGAGATACTAATTGAGATATTAATTCAGATATTAATTGAGCCATTTCAACAAGAAGGATTTCGAAGGTGGTGATATTGAGTCATTTTGAAATAAGTCAGTCAATCCTTTTGGTTGACAGAAGGAAGGACTTTCCCAAACACGGTGTCTCGGTTGTGTCGACTGCCCGACTGCCCGGCCCGTCCGCCCTGCGGCTCAAGTGCGGCCAACACCGGCGCCGCAGAATTTTGGTCGGTCTCCCAGTGTCCTGAGTATTAATTTGGCCTGGTAGGTGGATAGATGTCAGTCATTAGTCACCATTAGTCATTAGTCATTTTTTCCAGCAAGAATCAAAAATGACTAAAGGAAAGATCGTGGCTTTTTCTGACACTTTCAGAAGCCACTTTTAAGCAGGATATCTTAGCCAAGCTATGGAAGTTTACGATCATGTCATTCCTTCGGCAGCTCAGGCCGGCAATGAGTTCATCAAGACAAGCGAAGTTCAGCGATGAGGAACCTGGAAACACCAGTCAAACATTTCGGAACGAGAAGACTGTAGACTGGTTGAAGGTTGATCCTGAATTGTCAGTTATAGGCTGATTTGAAATGATCTCAAACGCACAACCAACCGATATCCAACACAATCCATTGAGAGTCAGAAGGGAAGCAAACCAACACTACAAGCTTCAGAGCTTCGCGTCAAGTTGCATCGTGCGGCTTGGCATGTTTTGGAAGGCAAATCTCGGCAATCTGTAGGGGGATGATGGGGAACATCTTAGAGCGGACCATAAAATCATTTCAAACTGGCAACGAATTTCATGGGGAAACCAAGTTTATCAAGTTTGGGGGTGCCCATCTAATTCATATTTTTGGAAAACGCCTAAATTTCATATGGGGTTCAGAGGCAACGCCATCAGGGGGTACTGCGTGCTTTTGTGAGGCTTGAGGGCTTGGTTTTGTTTCATCAATCCCAATGGTGTTCTACATCAATTGGTCAGATCCATTGTGGATCAAAACTGCCAATGGATCCCCAATAAAATCTATCAACATTGTAAGATCCATAATATAAATCCATTAGAATCCATTAAACTCCCATAATGAATCCATGAAAATCCACTGTGATCCATTTGGGATATGGATTCTGAGGCCAGACATGCGAGCCGCCCCCGCCGGACCCTTCAATGCCCAGACGCAGTGGGAAGCTCGGGGGGTCAACCAAAGCCATAGCAGCCATAACATAAACCCCATAAGTTATCCATGGCTATGGTTATATGAGCTATGGTCAATACTCATGGTTAATAACCAATGGTTCATAGGGATTTATAATAACCATTATAAGGATCCTTATTATGGATGGGATGACCATCAACCATATAGTGAGTATTGACCATGGCTATGGTTATATATAGCCATAAGTTAGGACATAGCCATAAGTTAGGATATAGCCAATATAGCCCCTCTAAATACGATGATATGATGATATAATTAATATACATCATACATCCATATACCTTCATTTGTAACTGCAACACTTCCAAGGATGGTAGACACCAGTGAGAACGGTATCTCTGTGCAAAGCGCGAAACCCGCGACAGGTTTCCGCTGTTGCCGTTCCGCTCAAAGTGACCAAGTCATGATGTGCAACTGTCAAAAACAATCCCGACATGGATTCAACTCCAGGCTTCCCTTCCTTCTGGGGACCGCTATCATATTATCATGTGGTTGCCATGCCAGTCCAAAACAGAATCTGACTGAGCCAAAGGTCAGGACAGGTTCAGATCTGTATCATGTATCCATATGTTACCCACCTTTGAAACAAGAGTTGCTCCTGTTCTGTTGGTGTCGTGGGTTTCTTGAGCTGAAAACTTTTGAACCGCCGGTGTTTCCTCGTGATGGACGAGGGCAGCATCTCAACTGCAAGCATGGGAGAACCGAGTTGTTGTTTGAAGATATTTTAACAGTGGCAAGATCATATGCCATAGACATCACTGGGTGTGCTGACTCTGTGCTGGTACTTTGGATCATTGACGATCTTGCTCCAATGTTCAAAGATCCGACTCTTGAGTGTTTGGCGTGTTCAGAGCCCACTGAAATTGCTACGTAGAATGATACTGAGCAGCGCGCATAAGAATAGCAACTCAATCCTTTCCCTAAACGCCATTACTCTACCGCGACCAGCTCATACATTGACTCATTGCCCTCTGTTAATCTGATGCAACAGAACTCCCTCAGTTTTTTTTAAAAATGGGAAAACATCTACAGAATCTACAGATATTACAGGGCTGTGTTGCACCATGTTCCGCTGGGTGTTCACCGGGAACCTCACCTGCCAGGGGCTCATGGTCTGAGCGCTTCTTCCTCCTCCCCTGAGGCGTGAGATTTACCATAGATTAATATAGTTTCATGATGTTTGATGATGATTGATGTCGCAGAATAATAGATTAATTGAGGATTCTTTCAAAATTCTCAAGTTTTTTTTTAATATAATATTTTATAATCATCCTGAAGTAGATACAATGTGGTATGTTCAAACACATCCCCATTTTAGATCGTTTTAGTGCTTCTTGATGTTTCAATTTCTACAAGTATCTTCAGGATGACTATAGAGCTTCATGATGAATGTGATAGATTGCCGTAATTATCATTATATAACTATCATTATAGTAATAGTAATTGTAATGCATTAAATTAAATGTGTATATATGATCTTCACGATAAACAAAATATAATAGTAATTATCTTGTGATAGGACTGTTTACTATACAATAAATAATATAGTTCTTGTTAGTTATCCTTATCACGAGCTGGGGACCTCGTGTTGATACCCTGCTGTGACCCATGGTGACTACTAACGCATTTCCTGTAGATCAATGATCAAAGATGATGTGTAGACAATCCAAATATATTTTACCAGTCCTAATCACTTTTATCCAATTAAACATGATCAATGAATCAATGAATCAATCCACTACTTAGGCACATGTTCCTCCACCGTCGCTTTTCTCTCGCTATGCCTTTCGTTGACCCTGCCGCACGACTATATAGGTATATATAATTGATTTTAATTAACTCTAACTATATATGATTACTGTATTAAAAAAAAAACATATATCATATTTTTTGAACATTGGCATGTATAATCAACGAAACTGGAATATCTAGCAACACGGGGCTATGATGATAAAATGATCAACAAAATACGGTTGTAACTTATAACAGTAGCAACAACAAAAATTGGGAGACTATCACTTATACAAGATGGGTTCCCAACATCGGATGCTGTGCTGAGCCAATGATTGGTGGCTACAGATGTCAAAATCTTCCAGAGTTAAAGCCAGATGTCGTGACATGGCTCGGCATTCTTCATGGTATCTGTATTGAAAGAGACCATCAAGTGGGTATTCCCATGGGAGGGGACATACTGAAACAAGATTGACTCAAATTCCCCAGAAATTTCATGGCTTCATTCACTTTCAGGTCCTTTAAGATTAAAACTATGTAGTTTTGTGATGTTTTTTTTTTGTGTGTGTGTGTAACATCTGAATAGATGTAAAACTTCTCTCTTTTTCTTCCTTCTGTCCTCTCCCTTTTTAAACCTAGTGCAGGGGGCTGCAGGGAATGTCATAGTTCTGCAGCCAACGAAGACGGCTATGACATTCTGTGATATCAATCCAGGACGCTGGATTGACGTACCTGCCAATTTGCAGATCGGTTTCAACTGTTGATCAAGCTGTTACACTGCGTTGTTTCGAATCTACACGGTTGCCACAATCTGTATTTTCTGCATCAGAACCTTCCTCAGTATTTTCGCCGAGATCATGTCGCCGATAGTATTTTCGATTATTTGGATTATTTCGCCGACCATGTCGCCGATGTATTTGGATTATTTCGTCAAAACCTCGTCGCCGATGTATTTTTGATGAAGATCGTGGACGTGGAAACTATTCAGGATCAGATTTGCATGTTTCAGGATTCAGTTCCTGCCGGATCATATAATGATCCATTCTTGTCTAGTGTGATTTCCATGGTGGCTCCGACATGGTGCCATGGAGCCATTTGAGGCAACCCTCTTTAGGGTGAGTGATGTCTGTCCTGACTGCCGAATTAACACATTTTAAGTTGGTAATTCATTTAAGTAAAGTGCAACAGCTGGCCTTTCCGTTTTGCACCGCTTTCTGAGTGTCCCGCTGATCCTGCGGTCCCTTGTGAAACCTCGTGGAATACACCTCTGTGACTGTGAAGCTGTGCTGAACATTCAGAAACCTCCTTTTTTACAGCAATGTCACAGCGACACAGCATCATGCCATGACAAAGGAACCAGGCAGGCACACGACTTCCAGGTGTGGTCCTCTTTCTTTTGATGGTTATCTGGTGAGGTGAAACATGTTGTGCACCTAATTCGCTGGACTTTGAAAGCTGTTATATGCCAATTGGGGCAAGACTTGACCACGGTCCCGGTGCAGGGAATAATCGCACGACCTTTAGGTTTAGGAACTGAATCCTGTTTTTAATTAATTGTTTTGGTTTTCCTGTCTGTCATCAACTAGTCCCCCATTTGGTCCCTAATTTCCCCGCGTGCCTCTCCGTAATGTGTCGTGGGGTTTAGGTGTGTGCGCTGTTTTGGTCAGGTCCGTTTCGCCGTGTAGGTTGGTTCCGGAGGTCCGTCTGTTCCCCTCCCCCCCTGCGCTGTTTTTGGCCTTTTGCCCTTCGTGTGTCCGCTTTTTTCTTCCTCTTGCCTTTCAGGGTTGACCCGGCTCTGGCCGGGTGTGTGTGTGTGTAACATCTGAATAGATGTAAAACTTCTCTCTTTTTCTTCCTTCTGTCCTCTCCCTTTTTAAACCTAGTGCAGGGGGCTGCAGGGAATGTCATAGTTCTGCAGCCAACGAAGACGGCTATGACATTCTGTGATATCAATCCGGGACGCTGGATTGACGTACCTGCCAATTTGCAGATCGGTTTCAACTGTTGATCAAGCTGTTACACTGCGTTGTTTCGAATCTACACGGTTGCCACAATCTGTATTTTCTGCATCAGAACCTTCCTCAGTATTTTCGCCGAGATCATGTCGCCGATAGTATTTTCGATTATTTGGATTATTTCGCCGACCATGTCGCCGATGTATTTGGATTATTTCGTCAAAACCTCGTCGCCGATGTATTTTTGATGAAGATCGTGGACGTGGAAACTATTCAGGATCAGATTTGCATGTTTCAGGATTCAGTTCCTGCCGGATCATATAATGATCCATTCTTGTCTAGCGTGTGTGTGTGTGCGCTTGCTCTGGTCTCCACTTTTTGAACCCTTGAACCCGAAAACTGATGCGGCTGTGGTTTGTGGCTCCAAATTCTTCAACCAACAACACGGCGGTTTATAAACTAATTCTAGGACTTTGACTTTAATGCTCAGAAAAGTTTTTGGATGTTTTGATTGGCATGTTTTTTGAATCTGTTTTTTTGCCATATTCGCTTATTCGAAGCACCAGGTCACTTTGGATGAGTCCATCCGCCCCTCATCACGACACTTTCTGCAGGAAGAGTATCGTGACTTGGACAGCTGGTCGAAGGAAGCATCCCCAGTTTCATGAGAAATGGGTGGTAGAAACATGAAATGATCCCCAAATGATCCCCAAATCATGGTAAGTTTATGGCATTGGGTTACCACATGTTACCACATGAAATAGAGTGAGTTAGTGAAAATCAGCCCTTCCAAGCGTCCTATGAATTGCAGTGCTTGGAGGAGCATCCCACGTCTGAGCCGAGGTGAATCGTATCCCTTCAGGACGCTGGCAGAAGCGAGGCAGGTGATCCCCCAATGGCAGCCAGTCACCGAAAACCAGTTTTGATGGTTTTTCTCTGTGGGGTGATAGATACCTAGGAACTTGATGGAACTTGACCCATAGCCATTTTTCATCATTTTTCGGTTCGGAGAGTTTTACTGTCGGACATTGAATGATGAGGGATTTATGGATTTTTTTTTCTTGGGGCTGTTCAGAACTTCATTTGGAGCACATTTCCCACGGGGGATGATCTGTGGGAATTTCACAAGGGCCTTCGTCGCTGAACAAAGATGTGCCAATTTGTTACTTTTTTCAGGTACGAGTTGAGACGACAAAAGATCCCTACAGCTGACTTCATCCGCATGTTCAGTCAGGCGCCGTTTTTTGCAGTACTCAGAAAAGGTCTTTGCAGAGCTAGTGGACAGAATTTTCCCAGATATTCAGATTTATATATATGACGAATGTGAAGAGTGAAGATGCCATTGGAAATGCCTCAAGTTTTTGAGTTTTGCTGCAGGCGCCACTGAAAGAGTCACGGCTCTACGAGCTGCGAGTGTTACTTGGCTCCCATGGCGAGTTTGTCGGACACCGCCCAGCTTTGATGGCCTGTTCATGCCCTTTCAATTGGAAAATATACGTATGAGAAAATTAATGAACATGATAGTGAAATTATGATATTCTCTGACAGACCATGGGATTTGATGGGAATTTCGGGCTTTTCCCACATTTTCTATATCAGACCGGACCAAGGCATCATGGTAACATCGCCCGCACCAAAACTGCCAAGGCTGCAGGGTGCAAGCTGACGGAGACCATGAGTAAGGGGATTCTTCATTCTTTGGGCTCACACAATTCTTAGATTCGAATCAATATTAGCATCACTTTTGGACTCGTTCCTATTTTCATTTCGGTTAAATTTTATCCTCGCTGGATATGAGGATACAGTATACAGTATACAGTATATTTTCTGCTTGTTCTTCCTTGGTTTATGCAAAGTTCAGCACATTTTTACTTGCATTCTGTTCCTTTGCTTCTATATTATAAATCTAGAATTTGTTTGAGCCGGTGTCATATCCTTTCTTTAAAACTTATTGACACAACATGACACAACCAACTTCTCTTCAAAGGATTATAAACATCATCCTAAACACCGTTGGAACACCTTTTGCACCTTTTTTTACATAGAAACAGCATCGCCCCTCGCAGGCGGAGCAAGCCTCACAGGAGCAAAACATCACAGCGAAAATCAGGAGAAGCCGAAAGCGGGAGTCGCTTGGAATCCGCCGAAACCACAAACGGATGGGGGTTTCCATAGCCATGAGGGTACCCCCATAGCTGGATGGTTTATAATGGAAAATCCATGAAAATCCTATTTTTCAATGGATGATAAATGCGGTGCCACCATTTTAGGAAACAAACAAATGACCTGATGTTTGAGAACCCCTTGGCCAGGGTGTCATCATGAGTTTGCGGGTCAAAAAAAACATGGTCATAATCGCCAATCTGTTTGGTGATCAGAATCCATGAACTGGGAAACCCAGTGAAACTTCTGAAATTTTCTGAAACTCAACCAGTAGAATGACGGATTGGTTTGCCATAAGTTCAGGGATGACCATCCCTCCATTTTCAGAGGGGTTAATATACCAATCTGATTCGGAATTGCATCATGATGGTCAAAATTGGTCAGATGACCATGGCCCCATTCATCCCATCTTTTGATGGCACACATGGAAGGTCTGAACTTGGAAGCTGGTGAGGAAGCAAAGCATAGCAAAGCTCCCCTGAAAGTTTGGGTATCAATGACTCTCCCATGGATTCTGGTGAGGGCGGCCTCGTTGTGGTTTCACGCTGATGTACCTAGGACCTAGGACTAGCTAAGCACTGTTGAAAACATTTGAAAACCAAGGCTCACCTCGGCAGAGCAAGTGCGACAGCTCTGTGATGTGATGCGTGTCTTGGTCACAGCAATCTATGGTCGGGTCCGGGACACATGGTGAATGGTTGGGTAAATGGAGTAATTACTTTTTTTTTGGGGGGGGGTTGGGTTTACCACGTTTTTCCATACATTAATTAATTATCCTTCATTTACTATCACCATCTATCACCTATATTTGGGTAAATGGATTAGCCGGCCATCGAGGTCATCGTTGGCTTTTGGAAGCCTCCAGTAGATGATGAAAGCATAGAGGTTTGTCCAATTGGGACCCCACCTGCAAAACAACTAGTTTCATGCGGACAACCGGTACTGGTTTGTCTTACTTCAGGCAATCTCCAACGACGCACAGACTCTTGGACAGCAGCGAACTTGTGGATTTCTTGGGTTCACCCAAAAAATTTCACGGTTTTGAACCTACATCAGATGGGCTTCAATTTCTTTTGTTATTTTGATATCACCTGAATCTGGGTTAAGGTTACTGGCAATGGTCTTAAGCAGCCCATTCTTGGGATGGGTTGAAACATGTCGAAGTCGCCCGCATGAATGTTTTCCCTCTCCCTCGAACTTTTGCCCAAAAAGCCACTGAGAACCTGTCCAAGGAAAGCAAAGAGAGCAGACTTCTCGAGAAATATGGCTTGGGTGCACCCTGCCAGCTGCCGGACCAGTTGTCTCCCACTTGCCTCGCTTATATTATATCAATGCCAGTGATGTATTAGGTTGTATGGTCTTATATGGAGCCCTACAGGTTCTACAGATCTTGAGCTTGTCAAAATCAACGCTTCATTTGGGTGTCGTCCTTCAGGGGGGCCAGACTTAAGATGCCTGCAAAACTTGGATTCACAGTTTTACTTTTGTTTTTTTTTGATATATTTTTGGTATTTATAGTTTATTGATATGTGTTGTTTGTTTTTCGTTTGCTTGTTGCTAAAGCATCATTTTGGGCCTGCCTCATTTCCATATTCTTGGCGGCTGGAACAGGTGATGGACGACGATTGCAAAGCGCCTAAGTAGCTCACAGGAGCGTAGATGTAGAAGTCGAAGCTGGTTGTGGCTAACTTTACCCTCCATGGATCAAACCTGGCAACAGAAACCACCATTTTCACTATAGGACATCATGGAAAATCATTGATAGATTACATATATTACATGTGATTGACCGGATGATTTTCCATTGCCGGGTTCGATTACCTGAGAAAAAAACACTTCAACTACTGCGGATGACAATCCCCATGGCCCATGGGGATGCTACCACAACTGGATGGGACGCAAGAACGGATCCAGTTGTGTTCGCAACATGTCGATGTCGATAGGTGTTGACAGTACACCAATTTCTTTGGAAAAAGACATCTATGAACACATCTATGACATAGTGAAGAATATTAGATAGAAGATGATAGAAGTTGGAAAAACACCCTTTGACTTGCCAATTTCTGCAAACTTAATAAACTTATTTGAGTATATTTAAGCTACAAAAACTGCGCAATTGGGGATGTCCAGGCATCACAGCTGTGCCTCAACTCAGTGAGGCGGCATCGGCATACCCTTCGACATGTTCAACAGTTTGCGAAGCCATGGCCCGTTTGTAGATGATTTACCGATTGGGAAAAGAAACATATCATAATACAATAGAATATAATATAATATAATAGCATATAAAAGCTATATAATTATATATATATATATATTAAATAACCACAGGGCACTTCTTAAGTCAGAGTTATTTAGCACACATATCAAAGGCACAATATCTTGGCACCTCTGAAAAGCAATTTCAACGACCATGGACATGTGATACACGCAGCTTGAATGGGCGTCACCTCCGTGACAGAAAAGCCAAGTATTTGACCAGGTCATATTTTGTCAACAATGTGTGGGGACTCAAAGTCACAACAAAGAAGAAAGAAAGTCTGGCTGGGTTCTGGATATCCGTATTTCATCGGAGCTTTCGGTCCAAGTCTTAAATTGCACGCAGCCCTGGTCACATCACACAACTTCAACTCATGGAACTTCAGCTGCAAGAGGGCCTTGGCGATGAAGTGCGGCGTCGAACACTTCTTCGTCGTCGTGCACGGGCCCGCAAGGCAGCTGCACGAAAATCCAAAGCATCCCTAAAGCTTGGAGCTTTGGTCAGGATCGTCCTGATCATGCTGTGGGTTCGGCGAAAGCACCGGGATCGGAAAACAAGCGATGATGGGATCCATCAAACGAATCAAAGTAACGGATCGTCAGAGCATGATGGGATCAATGGTGGCATTGACGGAGAAGGAGCAGAAGTCGAGTTCCACGCTGACAGCGATGACGACATAGCCACGGAACTGATTTTGGAAGCAGTTGTTAAAAACCATGGTCATGCCTTTGACTATCCAATGTCAAAGTCCGAGAAGATGATTCGATCCATGCAGATGACTGAGGGCCTGTGGAACAAGGCACAGATAGAGGCCGTCCAGTACAAATGGGCATCCCTCACCTTGAAGCTCATGATGTAGCTGAAACGTGCACACACGACGTAGCTCGATCCGAAAGCCACTGAAAGTTCTGCCGTGCAATCGCTGTGGGCCTTTGCTTCGTGGTCATTCACGGGCTGCCGGTTGTTTAATATGGGATAGCCAGGCTCTGAATGGATGCGGTTCTTGCAGAAAAACGGTTTCGCCAAACTGACCCTGTTGTGGACTTCGTGGGTGGGCTTTGACGTAAAACATTGAAAAGCAATAGAGACATCCAAAAAAAAACATGATCCCTACTTTGGATGACTTGGGCCCAAAGAGGCTTGGGGTGAAATAGGTTCTAAATCCTCTTGAGGTATTGGGCATGGTGAGATGAAGTGTCAGGAACAGCCAAAAAACCCAAAGAAACAGCAAAATGTCGCTCCAGCCTTCCCAGGACTATTTATTTGACGACCTGAGTTAGTGATGCGCTACAAACTTAGAAGGTCCATGTAGTCAATTGCTCAACGTTGCTGGTGCCTGAGAAAATCCATCCTTTTTTCATTCAGCATTGAACATCCTAAAGAGTGAGGGACTAGGCGGACCTTCATGTGGTGTAAGCTGTCCATGACATGGTGCAACCATGCATTGTGGTTGGCATAGCGGTTTCCCAGTGTGATTGACGCTTGGCTTTGAGTCAGATTGGAGTAACATTCATTGATATTCATTGATTAAGATTTCAACTTGGAGTTGTTGAAGGATTTAGAGAATCCACAAGATGAACGCAGGTCGTAGCGTCCAAACTGGTCTGCTCAACACCAGAGCATTTGTGCCGCGTTTTCTCCCCGGAGATGTCCAGAGATGCATCGCAAGATCACGGTCAAACGGTGCTACCTTGAAGATCCTTCAGCCACCCTGAAAAGAAAGTTTGGTTTAGCCTAAAGTTAAAATCCCCGCCACTAAATAAAGTATCATGATCAATCATATTCAATCATATTAAATAATATCAAACCACCATCAACCAGGGGTATGTTGGCTCATCTTCCAGGGACAGGGTGTTCAAATCGTCAGTGCAGTTGCTGAATGCCCAAGGCCAAATCAAGGGCACTGCATATGTCATGCATATGTCAGCAGTGGGTTTGTTGCAAAATATGGTCCTCCATTCCGTCCAGTGGTTTATCACCATTTTCATCCATTTTCCACTTGAACCGCATCCCTTCTCTGAATTTCTCAAAAAAAACCAACAAAATGATCCCAAAACCATGGTTTTTCGGCCGATTTTGGATGATTCCGATGTTCCCCATGGCTTAAGAAACCCCCAAAACCAAAGGCAGCAACGACACGGGTCGCCTGCGACCAGATCTTGGGCTCTCCAAGCTCCCAACGCTGAAAGTGTTTCGGGGTGCTGTCTCGGAGGTGGTCCATGTCAGGATCCGTGTGGAAAAAGATGTGGTTCTGTCACAGCAACAACCTGCGGACCAGAAATTCACCCTTGACTTGAGGTGAAATTCCGATGGATTTGGCCCATTTCTCTATTGTTGGACATGATTGCCCAACATATATACAGTGATATATCAGTAAAGTATAGTATAGTATAGTATAGTAAAGTATAGTATAGCATAGTATATGATATGATATGTATAATTATGTATGTATTTTTTGCTTTGGCAGAGATGGTGCATGGTAGTACCAATTGAGCAGAACCATTTGTTCAGCGCCCATGAAGGGTGCGGTCACAACTCGCACAACTCGCTTAGAGTTTTCAGTTGTTGGAGAAGGTTTTTGCTGTATGTTGTTGATTAGCATTAGCAATGGATAGGCACTATTGTTGTACGTCAATTTTTTATTGGTGCTGCACCAACTAGTATTAGCAATCTCCAATGTAGATTTGTTATTACTGTGCTATCAGAGGCATGTACAAGAAGATCCGTGGTATATATATAGTTTGGTCATTTGGTTACGCGGGGTTTTTAGTGCAATGCGCCGCTTTCCGAATCGAGGTTCAACCGAAAAGCCTTTGCCTGGGGCAACCCTGACGCACAGAGGCAGAAACGGTTTCGACCGTTTTCTGCATGGGAGGTGTTTCATTTTGGGATATGTTTCAGGCATACATACATCCTTTACTGGAAATCTCCTCAGTGTCATGAGGAAAATATGTTCAATGATGTTCAATAGCCGATAGCCACTCCAAAAAGCTCAATATTCATTATTATATATATATTATATAATCATAATCTTAAATTTATTAATAATCTCATATTCCCATCCCCATTCATATTGGTTACACCCCCATCATGGTTCCAGTCATATGTGGATTTCTGAACACTGCCAGGCAGGAAGCACCAGGCAAAGCAGCAGTCCAAGAGGAAAGCCAAAATCGCACCTATGAGGCGTGGTTGGATATCCGATATCAATGCCTAAAGCCCGGATTATGTAGGTTTCATAGGTTTAATATAGCAATACTATGTGTATATATATATATATATTCAAAGGCTTCCTTTGTTGGGAATAGAGCAGCTTGTTGATCCGAAGAAAGCTCCGATTTTAGATGTGTCGCTTGGAGGTCATCGCCAAGACCGGCACCGTCAAAGCAGAGCCTCACATGGAGGCCAAATTGAAGACGAAAAAGTCGTTGCGCTCAGCCAGGGATGGGCGGAACAGGCTCTGCCGCGGTGATTCAAAGTTTGGGGGTTAAAAGTGGTCACCTGCAGCACCCCATAGGCTGCAGCACGGATTTTTCTTGAGCCATCAGAAGTAGCGGAGCGTTTAGCCATGTACATGTCATCCTTAGTGCAGGGGCCATGCTTGTAAAAACGAAGCTTACCCTTCTACACCTTGGACCTTGGCATACCAGCAACTGTACATTCTAGAGGTTAGAGTGTTCCATGAATCACACTCCCCCTACCTCATTTTGAGGTACAGCTACCTAAAACAAACAACCTTTGGCGCAGCAGCACTAGGAAAAAGCTGCAAAAGCGCTCACCAGGTCTCCCCAGAGACCTCACTCCAGCTGCCGTCATCGCTCAGTTCCTCTTCGGCAGGAGGCAGGCCATCTCGACGCTGAAGGTCAGCCAAAACCGGTTGAGCTCGTCGACCAGCTGAAGTCTGTGCTTTTGGCCTCACCGCAGGTGCTCTTGGTGTTGGGAGCGGAGCGTAGGACTTCGCCGTAGCCGCCCGGCTCACATCAACACGGTTCTCTTCCCCACCAGGTAGGTCAGGAAGAAGCCCAAGATGCCCCTCGGCTCCATCAGGCAACCTCAAAACTGCAGGCTGAAGCTCACCACGATCATGCGGTCCTCCAGCTCCGTCACGTTCAGGTAGGTGAAAACGATGCCCTTCTCCACGAGCATCATCACCAGAGCTCCGAGACACAGTGCGATCATGCACGGTCCCAGTTTCATTCTTGAGGCGGAAGAAGGTCCACCCAGTCCACCTTGAAGTAGTGGGGTTCGCTGGCTCCACATCCCAGCGGTCCGTCTTGACAAAGCGGCGGTTGGTGTCCTCCTCGAAGCCCACAGTCACACGTAGAGGAAGAAGATCTCCACCTGCAACCGGAGAGGCACGGTGGATTGGCTGGAAAGTGCGTTTCCTTGGATCCCTGTGGACTCTAACAAGCCATCCACGTTGGATCCAGGAACTTTCCCATCTGTCCTTCTTCCCAGTCGGCGGAGGCGCCGAGAACTCAGGTAGTTCCCACGGTGCCGTGGCCGCATCCACAGTGACTCGCATAGCCTTCATGCTGTAGGACCCACCATCAGGCGGAGGACGCTTGGTTCCCGAGCCATCATCCAGGTCCTTTCTCGCATGGATGTCATAGTCCTCATTTTCTTCCTCATCAGGTGGATGGTCTTCAGCTGGAGGCTCGCCTTCCGGTTCTCCAGCTCCATGCAAACCCTGAGAAGTCCATTTTCCCCAGGAATCATCATCGTCATCCTCAGCGGCGCCCGGAGTCTTCCCCCGGCCTTTTCCTTTTCCCAAAGACTGCCGGCGATCTCCACTAGGAACTGGTCGGTCGGTTGAAGATCCAAGGCCATCGCCACTGGCAGTTGAAGAACCCACGCTGCCTCGACTCGGTGGTAGCAGAGGTTCGGGAACGGGTTTTCCTTTTCCTTTGGGACCAGTTGGGTCGCTGTTCGCTTCTTCATTCTCTTCACCAGAGCTGATGACCTCTGGCCCGTTCTTTCCTTTCCCTTTTCCTTCTGGCTCAGCAAGGGGACGGATCTCGACCAGACCGTCACCTCTGCGAATTTCCAGGTCACCATCCACATTCACGAAGGATACCACGATCTTTTCGCCTCCCCAAAAGAAGCCTGACTCAATGTCGCGGCGACCATGACCACGGACAGTGTAAGTGGTTCCATCTGGGTTCTCAGGCCCCTGAGAAGAGGCTGGCTGACTGCCCGTCGCAGTCGGAACCTCTTCGCCAGTAGGTTCGTTGTCTTGAGGAGGTAGAGGAGCTGGTAGCGGAGCAGCACTCGTCGCTGTCTTCGGAGTAGCCTGCATCAACGTCACAGGCCCTGGCTCCCCTGCGACTGTTTCCTCGGACTCCTCAAGCTTTCTGTTTTCCCAGCTCGGCCACTCATCTTCCTTCTCTTCTTCATCACAGGCCTCTGCACTTGGGCCCTTCTCTTCACCTTGATCAGCCTTCGCGGCCTTGTTTTTCTTCTTTCTCTTCCTTTTCTTTTTCTCCCCGGTGTAGATGTCATCGTCCATGGAGCTCTTCGGCCACGGCTTACGATCATCTCCACCATCACCAGGACCATCTCCACCCTCGCCACCAGCATCAGCAACGCTGGTCGCCATGGCTTCAGCACGGAGCGCCCGGACACTGGGGCAGCCCGAAGGGCAGTAGTTCCTGAACCCGGCAACAGTCACACCGGAGTTGAAAACCTGTGCACCTTCGCCACTGAAGTCGTTTTCACAAGTGCCGTCAACCACGTTATCCCCAAAAATCGATTTCCCAAAATCAAATTCCCCAAAAGAGGTGGGACTTTGTGGTTTCAGGGTTTTCTTTATGCTGGGTTCATTTTCCCTCAGCAATTGGTGGTTTGGACCGGGTTCATTTTCCCTCGGCCATCTTGTTTCAGTAAGTTGGGTTCCTATGCCGGGTTCATTTTCCCTCGGCGTTCTTGACTTTCTTTTGAGACAACAAAGGTGAGACTTCCATCTTTGTACAACATGGCACACACCAGCTGCTACTGCACAGATCCCTAACCTCCTAATCCGGTGGTGCTCCTCAGTGGTCGGTTTCCACCTTTCAAGCTCTACAGCTACAGTCAGCCCCTTCAGAGCCCATTCTCTACAGATTCCAATCTTCTTCAAGGTCTCCAGGTCCTCCGGCTCAGCCATGTCGTAGAGCCCTGCAAACCTCCGGAATCTTGACCAAGTAGCCCCAACGGTGATTGGCTTCGTCAGGAAATCTGCCGCAAGTTCCACACCCGCCATGTGTTTCACCTTCCACACCTCCTGTTGTACCGCTTCGTGCAACGCCCTAGAGCGCAGCCTGAGATGTCTCGATCTCCACGGTCCATTTGGGTTAAGTACGACCTGGATTCCCGATTGAGAATCACCGTACAACACTCTGGTTCCCTTTTCTGTTAACCTTCCTTCCTCAAAAAGGTCAACCAAGACCGCCACCGAGTCTCCAAGGCTCATAGCGTCCACGTACGAAGTGACTTCAGACTCAGAGCTGCTCAGCGTAGCAAAACTCTGTCGCTTACTTTCCCACTGGATCAAACCACCTGCCCAGACAGCAAGGAGACCCTGGTGGGACCTCTCCCTTCCTGGACCGAAAGACGCATCCGAGTGGACTTCCAACGTATTGGCATCCCTGCAGAATGCCAAATTCCCATTCGGCCCACGGTCGGCCTCTTGACACTTTTGGTATAGCAGACCATGACCCACTGTGGCCTTTAAGTAGCCAAGCGTTTGCCTACCAAGTTGGCAAACCCTCTTCGGACATTTGGATGCTCGGGAACCCATCCAACTCACTGCATATGCCACGTCCGGCCGCGTCTTTGTGCTTACCCACAAAAGTTCGCCGACCAGAGTCTGCGCCCTTTTGACATCTGCAGGCTCCGGTGGTGAATCCTCGACATCCTCAGTCCTTGCAATTGGTACCAGCGCTTCTGGTACCTCCGGGTATCGATCCAACAGATCCTTGGTGTAGGATTCTTGGGAAAGGAGGATGCCGCCCCTCGGGTGCAGCTTCAACTCCATCCCACAGAATCTCAACATTCCCTTTTCTGAGAGGTACTCCGCTTCGGAGCAGTTCCACTCCTGGTTTATTCGGTTCAGACATCCCTTGATTACTTCGGTTGGTCCACAGACCAGGACATCATCGACATAGAAGGTACAAAAACCTTCTACCCGTTCATCCGAGTCCGCTCTTCCTGGCTCCTCGCTCGACACGAGTTGCCAGACATTTGGTTCGACCGTTTGACGCATCCAGAACGACCTACCGTTTGAGCTCCACTCAAATTTCTTGACCCTTTGGTCGCGGAAGCTACTCCAGTCGGCCGGACTGGTCTCCAGGCCGTACATCGCCTTTTGGATCACCCACCGCTCATCCGGCGGACAGATCCCAGCCTGCACCAGCAGCTTCGGTGGGATGGTCATCATCAGGCACTCCTGCTCCCTTCGGCGTGGGGCAAGCAAGAACGCGCCCTTGATATCTAGGACTCCCATGTCCCACCCATCCATCATTGCGGTCTTTCTGACCATGCATCGAATGGCGGTGGCATCAGCTCCTCCAGCGTACAAGTCCGCTGCCGTCACTGGAGTCGCCTGAGTCTTGTTGCCATCCTCGTGAGCCTTCGTCACCAGGTTTCCACAGATCACAATCCGTGCCTTGCGTTTCCCATTTGGCGATTTAACTGTGGCAACCAACTTGCTTGGTGCTAGCTCCATGTCTTGGTAGCCTTCCATGGCCTCCAACTCACTAAGCTTAACCGGTTTCACCGCCTGGCTTTCATACACAAGCTGGTTGTACTCGGCCTTAATTGGTTCAATCCAGGATTCCATATCCCGCTTTACCATCGTCAAGGGGATTGTGTAGGTTTGCAAGACCGTCGGGGGCCTGCTCACACCTTGGTTCTCATCCCCTGGTTGGCCATCCGTCGACAAAGCTGCGATTCGGGCATGTCTCTCACACTCTTCAGCTTCCAATGCCTCCACCTTGGCACCTTCTTCTTCGATCCGGGAATAATGCTCCAATTCACTTTCCAGCCATCTCACTTGGGTACTCACGTGTTGCACGACTTGTCCTTGCGCCGCACCTTCTTCTTCTGTCCCAGCGACTGCATTCACCTGTTCCTGCAGAAGTTTTCTCAGATTCCAGTGCTGGTAGCGGAGCTCATTCACATACTCCTCTACTTCCGTCTTTTCGATCTCCCCCCAACCTTCAAGTTGAGTTCCATCCACAAGAGACTCTCCCCCAGCTCGTAAGGCCATGAGAGCTGGCAATCCCAATTCTGCCTCAGGTGGAACCAACTCAGAGTCAGACAAGATAGAGGGCTCATACCCATCTTCTTCCTCAGCGTCGGCCACAGCCAACAAGGACTCAAGTTCACGGTCCTCCCGAGGAGGTGGTAAAGGGATCTTGGAAACCTCCACAACCAGTGGCTGCTTCCCGTTGAGACGTCTTTTGGGAGGATCCTTGGGATCATCGACCGTTTCCAGCTCCAAACGAGCTGTTTCTCCAAGAGGATCAGGAATGAACACGGACCGTGCGTGCTGCACAAGGTTGGCTTCTTCATCAAGAGCAACCCAACCGTTAGTCATCTGAGGTGAAGGGCCCATAATTCGAAGCGTCTTGTAAGGGGATGACAACGCCCCTTCTTTTCGACGATGCCACAGTTTGGCCTTAACCTGAGCCAACACAGCAAAGGGTGGCATCTCCTTACACTTGGCCCCCAACTTTCTCATTTGGGCACGCAATCGTTCCTCGACTCCGTGTCGGGCCGCGCATGGCCAGTAGTCATGACTCACTCCCGTTTCTGCCAACAAAAGGCGAAGTCGACGCTTGAATTGGTTGATTTCCCCTTCAATTCGTCCATTGGCTTCAGGCTCATCGCCTGCATTGAAAGTTTGATGGACCTGGCGCATTTCGCACCACTTGGCCACGTGATTGGTTGTGAAAGATCGCTCCCGATCAGAGTGCACACGGTAAATGGGTATGCCAAGGCTCTTCGCCCGGGCATGCACTTTGGACAGTGCCTTTGTAATTTCATTCTGGTGACGAGACGCAAGTGGCTCCATGAAGGTGATGTTCACCACTGGAACATCCTTGGATATCTCCTTGACTTCCTTTTTGACGAACTCTTCCCACGCCTGGTTTCTCTTCCGGGCTTCTTCCTCTGGGATCAGATCCCTGGGCTCTGGATCCAAGAGAAGCTCCCCAGAGGCTTCCACTTCCTCAGCTTCGGGAACAACTTCTTCCTTTTGAGGTTCCACCGCCGCCGTGGAATCCTCCTTCTCCCCCGGACTTGGCCACTGAGGCACAGGGATAGTCGCCAGCAAGGCATACTTTACCTTTCTGCGTTTGGAGACACCAAGGTCGGTGCCCTTTTTGAACGGACCACAGATGTCTACAGACATCACAAAGGCGGATTCTTGACCCCTCTTTCGGCGATGTGGCTCAGCCGAGCCCATGGTTTCCAAGCAGACCTTACAGTCCCGCCGGTATGGCACGTGTTGTGCCTGCAGATGCTTCTTCCATCCCGCTAAGTCCAACTTGCTCAGCATCGGTTGCTGAGCCTGGCTCGCCAGAAATTTGGGTATCACAATCTTGAGAGCAGCCATCAGACCTGGAGCCCATGCAGACCAAGAAGCCGTCTGCTTCAGCCGCTCCCGGAGATCCATGCACACACTCTCTCCAGATTCCTTCGAGGTAATCCCACAAGTTCCTTCAGCTGGACTATGTTGGTCAGAAGCGTTGTGGGTTTGGGGCGTGGGTGCCCTAGAGCCCCTTGGTCCACCCTGACCTTGAACATGTCTGGGTTTCGTTTCAAGAAATCTTCTGTTTCCTCCCATTCCCAGAAGGACGGATACTCTTTCCCATCTTCCACATACTCGCATGGATCTTGGGGACTTTCCACCAGAAGACCACACTGACCCAGAATGCCATTCGCCGCCATTCCCTCTTGAGATTTCTCATAGAGACCGAGAGTTTTCAACCACAGGGCGGTATCTCCATCCACCTTTGTCATTTCTCTTTCAGTTAGATCATCCAAAGCGAATCTGTGATTCCTTCTGCCACGTAAAGGGCGAGGACCTGGGATCTTATGCCTAAGACGACTCACTGTCCTGCATGGCGGTCCGGCGGTTATCATCCGGATCCGGCCCCTTTCAGCCAATCCCCACAGATACGCCCACACCCCAGCGGCGTGTAGATCTTCTTGAGCGTTCGATGAGATGTCAACGGTCAGCACCTCGGTGTCTGATCCCGTGAGATCCCGCCATCTCCTGGATTCTCCCCCGGACCCAGAGAAAAGATGGATCACCACACCACCTCGAGCTCTTTCCAACCTCCTCCGCTTTGCCCTATTCCAAGGCAAAGGGGAGGCAATTTCTTCCCAGTTCAGCCCTTGGCCCCTCATCAAAGACCAGATTCTCTCAGGGACCTGTGGATACTTCTCCTTCCACCATTCGATCTCCTGAGCCGGTGGCTCACAGTAGTCTCCCACTCCACCATTCTCAAGTGACTCCAAGAGACTCAAGGCTTCACTTCTGTCCATCACTGGACACCCTTGGCGTCTGACACACTGCAGGTTCCCATGTTTCGGGTGTGAGATGTCACAGCGATCCTTCGGCCAGTCGATCTTGAATCCGTGATCTACTAGCAGCCGCAATGGAATTATGGGTTCCACGTTATCCAGTGCCAACAGCGTATTGTGCGCTGCGCACCGATAGAGCGTGACACTTCCCATCGCCATTTCAACTTGGACTGGCCAAAGATGCGGAACTTCGGAGCTCTTCGCCTGTCGCAAAGCGTGAGTCGCCCCCCCATCTAGCAAGGCGTACTCTCCTCCGCACTCCTCGTCCATTTTCACCGTCTTGATGAATACCGATTTGATCGACGTCATGGACTTAACCAGACCGTTGAGGTTCTGCACCAAGTCACCTTCCTGCTTGGGCTGGGAACCCTCAGATCTTTTTTCCGGTTGCGGATTTTCCTCCGCTGCCTCCTTCACTACTGTTGACTCTTTTTGGCTCTCCTTCTCAGTGCTCTTCTCCCCTTTCTTATTGAGGACCTTAGCGACCTTCCGGTCACCTTTCTGTGTCCAGCCATTTCCATCTTTAGGCTTGGCTGTGGGACAATCCCTTTTACGGTGGCCTGTTGATGAGCAAAGCAAGCACCTTGAGGATTTCTCCAACGTTCCCCAGGCGTGTGCAAAACCGCACTTCTCACCCCTGCGACACCCTTCGTCAGTGCTCCAGAAACGACACGGCGCTTTCTCACCTTCTGGCCTCTCCCATGGCTTCTGCCCTTCCCCCGTGAAGGCCTTGACAGCCGGCTTCCCCTGCGTCAGCACCGGAGCCAACGCTGGCGGATTCGACGGCGTCGCCTTCCCAGCAGTCTGCGCATTAGCCAACTCTTCCAGCTCAGCTTGGATGTACTCGGCCCATTCTTTGACCGAACCAAGGCTTGGAGCTCTATCTACGTCCAGCTGTTGGCGCATGGTCGCCAAGCGGAACGCCACCTGACTTCCACCCAATCTTGAAGCTCCGTCAGCGAACTTCGACAACACACCTGTCAGAACCAGAGGATCCACTGTTACACTCAGCTCCTCCGACCTTCCCACTGATCGGCGCCATTGCCGAACGGACCCCAGCAGTTCCACCAAACCTGCTGGCACCTTGGCCTCGCTGATGGACTTGATCAGTCCTGTCCTTTCACCCGAACCACCAGGTTGAAAGGTGGTAAACAATCGGAACAGAATCCCGACCGTCGAGAGACGCCGCGATGCTATGACGTCCTGTCGCAAACCTTCTGGCAAAGCAGCTAGCAACATAGATACTGACCGCTGTTCCAGTCTTGCGTAGCCTTCACCGATCACTGGTGATCCTGGTTTCATGCGCAGCTTCTCCAGCGGCGTGGCAACCAGCCACTGCTGATAGTGGTGTTCCACAGTTTTCACTGTCAGACTCCACCATTCTCCAGCACTTCCAGAAAGATCACTCATCAGTGGATGCACCACAGTCATCCAATCCCCGAACTGGATGGACGCACCTTCACTTCCCGGTGTGGGAAGCTTTGGTAGCTCCAGGGCCCTCAAAGCCTCAGTCAGAGATGGTCCCGGCTGAGCTAGCCCAGCTTGATTCCTTCCTTGGAATCCCGGATCAATCCCTGGAGGTGGGGACGGCATTCCACCGACTCCTCCCAACGGCTGAGAAGTTCCCAAGGCCTGGCCAACCACGGCCTGTCCCTTGGATGCTGACTGGTACGATTGGGTTTCCTCGGTCTGACCTTGAAGCCTTCTCACCTCCTTGGCGAAAGCTTCCTCTGCCTCCCGCATCACCCGCTTTCTGATCTCCTCAACTGCCATCGCAGCTGGGTCCATCCTCATCTGAGTCCCTCCCAATGGATCTGTTCCAACAGGAGCTGCGTTCCCCCCTCCAGCCAATGCCTGCATGGGAACCGGGCTCACCATTTGCATGGGAACCGGGCTCACCATGGGTACTGACTGCAGGTCTCGAGGTTCTCGGACTGGAGTCACCATCACTCCTATCCCTGAGCTGGTTGGCTACCTGAAGGATGAAACACTGGCGGGTGTGGACTCGCGGCTGATCCCATCTGTTGCTGCTGCGGCAGCTGAAAAGCTACCAACGGCGGCAAAGGCTCAGCCAAAGGTCCCAACATAGCACCGCCCACATGCCCTCCACTCGGACAGCCACCACCTTGGTCATTGATCCCCTGACCACTGCGTTGATGTAGTTCAGCATGAAGACCTTGTAGAGGAAGGACACCAGGAGGACCACCTTGAGGTACACAAGAACGGACTTGAGCTCCAGGAAAAAGTGTCCCCAAAGCTTGCAGTTGGTTACCCACCGCACCAGCCACATCTTGCGCCACACCCCGAAGAAGCGGTCCTACCACCATTGTCGATCTCCCACCACCAGGCAATTCCTGCTGAGCTGCCACCGGAGGAGCTTCAGGCCCTAAAGCTTGTGGCAAACCAGCAGGCCTCGCCACCTCACCTTCTCGACCTTGAGCTCGTCCATCTCCCTCTGCTCCAGCCTGAATTTCCAACCTCCGCACACCACCTTCCATCCTCCTAGGAGCAGACAGAGCTCTTCTTCTCTCTCCCTCCTCTTGAGTCTGGGCGATCATGCGGTCCAAGGCTTCATCGGCTGACTCACCACTCATCCCTCCACGCCGACGCTGCAGCAATGACATGGCCACGCAGCAGAGCGCCTCTTTGGGCTCGTAACCTTTGGGGGTTAAAAGTGGTCACCTGCAGCACCCCATAGGCTGCAGCACGGATTTTTCTTGAGCCATCAGAAGTAGCGGAGCGTTTAGCCATGTACATGTCATCCTTAGTGCAGGGGCCATGCTTGTAAAAACGAAGCTTACCCTTCTACACCTTGGACCTTGGCATACCAGCAACTGTACATTCTAGAGGTTAGAGTGTTCCATGAATCACACAAAGAATGTGGCTAGGACTCATGACTCGTTTGAGGCAACTATAGAGTAACTAAAGGGTGCTACCTCTTCATATCGTCCTTGCACAATTTGTGTGTGTGTTTTTCTCATTTTTAAAGCTGGGTGTGAATGAAACGTGTGTCGGCCAATTCCTTGTAGAGAGCAAATTGCACCCAAACCCATACCAAAAGACCCAGGGTTTTATTGGTTGAATGTGATCTCACTTCTAATTTTTGTCCCTGTGCTCCAACAAAGTGGCAAAATTTTGATGGGGACTCCGAAGCAGATTCTTGCAGGATAGAAAAAAGACATCACTGTGGACTCGTGTGGACGCGCTTTCTTACCCATAGGATCCATGTATGCTATATATGGTAACATTTACCATCAATATACCCCAAATGTTAGCATATATACCATACATGGATCCTATGGGTTATCTTTCTTTGTATTTCAGCCTCGCAGAAATCTTCTGTTGCAACAAAATTTAAGGGCACTTTGGCTGCTTTTGCGGAGGCCTCCCAATATTTGGACAGCCTGTTAATCATTGGATTGGTTGAAGTTGAAGGGACCATTTTTTTTGTAACCCCCTGTCATGAGTGCTAAAAACATCTAAAAACCATGGTTTCCCGTAGATTTTCCATCTAACCAAGCCATAAAATTAGTCGTTGACCATCAACCTGTTCTCAGCTTGGTGTCTCAGGTCCAAAGGGAGCAGGTTCATTGTCTCCGAGATGAGCATGAATGGCTGGCACGGAAACCCATAGATCATGTGGTTTGGATTGACATGGATTGATCCCACATTGAACGCCAAATTGTAAAAATAATATTATATATATATAATATAGTAATTATTATTATTATTATATATATATAATACCATGTTTCGGACACATTCATACCTTATGTTCGGACAAATTCATGTGATTGCTTGGGATTTTGGACAATAAACATTTCGAAAACAAATGCAGCAGGGGAGTTCTTTTTGCCAAGCTGCCAAGCGCAAGCAACCGGAGCTCCAGCAAGGTTGAAACTGGAAAATGAACCCGGCTGGATTGTCAGAACCTCAATGTATATGGGCCCAGAATGAATCCATCAGAATTGGATGCTAAAGGCAAATATGTGTGTATAATTGTGTATATATAGAACATCATCTATGAAGACACTCTAAGAATCAGCCAATGTTATTGGTGTATACGTAGCAATCCCAAAATTTCATAGAAGTTGTTTGGATGCCGAGGCGGCACACCTGCGGGGTGTGGACAATGTTGGTGAGGCGAGCATAATCTCGCGAAATCGCAGCGATGGGGATTTCAGCAGCCGAAAGCCAGCAGCCAACAGAAAGAGTTTTTCAGCAGCAAAAATGAGTTGATAATAAGATGCAGCAATCGCCCATTTAACCTATCATTTGCTATCATTTGATTAAACCACTAATATCCCATTATCATCCCTATTAAACTGCAGTATCCTGCGAAAAGTAAAGAAGCAAAGGAGGTCCAATAAAAACAGCGGTTTTGATGTGTTCCTCTCAGATCGCCACTCCCTTGGAGACAGACCCACCACTGGAGTTGCTTGGCTGCGAGGTACAGTTGGAGTTCAGACTTTTGCCGTTGCAAAGTGTTTACTTTAGAAGAAGGGAACCAATGATTACGAGGGTGTCTGTATCTACTCCATCTTTGGACATGATAGATTATTACATATGATTACATACTACTACCACTTGAACATTTGTAGAAAATCACCATTCACGCCCACATAAACCTCTGTGGAAATTGTAGATTTAGTGCCGTGTTGCACGCAAAGTACGCACGTCTGAGGCTGGCAGTACCTGTGTACCAGCCACAAGGCAGGGAGTGAGGTTGGCTTTCAAGATCTACTGTACCATATAAAATTTGCAACCATCATCCAATGAGATTCCAGTTAGATTCCAATTAATTGTTGCTATATATATATATATACATGACAATTGTATTTCCCATTGAAAGGTTACTTATAATACATATACATGTAATTATATATATATACATAGCGCATATACATATCCTCCTTATGGAGAACGGTTGTGACCATATCCCAGCAGCATATCATCAGCGACGCTTTCCATTCGGCCTGACAACTCACCGGTCCCACGGAAGTTCTCTCTGGAAGGCATTTGTTCTTTGGAAGTGGTGTTCAAAACGGGCGTTCCAGTGAGGCCGGGTGACATGTGAAGATATGTGAAGATATTAAGATTATTAAGCTTCCCTGAAGCAGCTAGCCTTCGCATCAAGTTTGAGCTGTGGCTGAGTTGGCTGTTGAGATTTCAAGATCTCCCATCTGATCCGTCTGTCGTTGCACTTGCAGGGAAAGCCCTAGCCGAAAAGCGAAGACAGTGGCGACACTGAAATGTGCCTTGGATCAACATTGCAAGCCATACCGGCCATACCAGCGATAGCATCCACCAGATGAAGCAATGATCCAACAATCTGGAAATAGAGATGCTTGGCATAGCTGGCACCGATGCACTTCATCCACGGATATTTGTGCGACTTGAACTTTTGTACGTAACCAGAAGATGCATCGCAAGACACACAGAATAAACTCTGTCCGCAAGGTCTTCCGCATTAAAATCATTATCGCCCCAATTGAAACCAGCGTGTGGCACTGAATCTAATCCTATGGCCTAATGTTAAACATCCTCTATAGATCTCTATAGTTGGATATTAGGGGGGAGATGGGAGGAGGGATCATTCCTTTTGAAGATTCCAATTAGGGCAATTATATTTCATATGTGCCATATGACTGTGTCTGGTGGAAATGGGGAAATATCCATATGAATATTTCCCAAATGGCAATTTTACTTGGGAAATGATTCGATCAACCACAGGATTTTGAGGCTCATTTTCAGACAAAGCCATGATTTTTCGGCAAGGGAGTAGCCTCTGGTAATTTAACGTAGCTATTGAAAATGACAATTTATAGTGGATTTTCCCATTGAAAATGGTGATTTTCTATAGTTATGTTAGTTTACCAGAGGGTAGCATCCTTCGTCTCCGATTTTCAGGTGGGGAATACGTCTTCGCACAGACGCAGAACTTTGACGGCTCCCCGCCTTGAATTGGTCCAGACATGGGGGATGGTTTTGTAAGTTGTGGCGGTTTCCAGATTTCTTTACAACTCAGTTTTGAGGTACCATACTTTAAGATTTTTTTGGCGAATCCTATATATGAGCGCCCATATGCACACGTTGGGTCCGTAATTGGGATTACTCTGGATGGGACAGAGCTTGTAGACCAGTGACCGAAACACCAGCTGAGGTTGGTTGAGAATCCATGGCAAGCCTGAAGGTTGGGTTCTGGCCAATGATTCAGTCGCCTTCTCAGCCAAGTCTGGTGCAAAAATGGATAAAAATGGTATGTTTTTGTGTCCATAAATATTAGGAAATCATATGAAATCATGTTGTTGTTTTTTTTTCCCGATCTTGCTGATCTACACATTGTTTTCCCTGGTTTTCGCCTCCACTTTGGTATATTTTGAGGATTGGGGTGAGCTCCTCCGACGACGGAGAAGAATGAATGACTCCGGGGGGACCCAGCGGCCCTTTAGCTTTTTTGTCGCCGTTTCAATGACCCCATGGGCTCATGATGTTCTGCATTTAAGTATTAAAGTATTATTATTACTATTATTATTATTATATAGTATAATATGTCAAATTATATGAAGAACTGTCATATACTTCAATCAACGATACATGTCATGTTCTGTTTTGAGAGGTTTGAGACCGATACCGTATTCATATTCTGCGAAGATGCACTGCCACATATGTCTAGGTGGTTTTTGGTGACTGAATTTTGTCTTATGTTTTAACATAATAGCTAATTATGGAAAATGTTCCATGTTTAGATGATTTACCTATTGAAAATCGTGGTTTCCCATGGCTATGATAAATTTCCCATAAAATGGTTCCATGTTGCAAAGCCGAGGGAGGAGACCAAGGTTTCCAGCATGTGTCGTAAAGGCACCTCAGCATATGTGTAAAGAAAATAATGAGCCATGTATTTGATGGTTAATAGTTTCCTGAAGAAGAACCGGCCTCGGTAAACAGATGAACTTTTTGTATCAAATTGGGTACTCCAAAAAGAGGATGGATATATATATATATATATATGTATATTGTATGCTTTTGTATGAGTATTTGTCAGATTGGTTACCCGGTTACCCCAAAAGAAAGGATAATGTTTGTTTAGTGCCCAAAATTGCCAAACATGTGGTTCTATGTGTCCTTCAATTTTGATTCACCCCCGGAATATGAATGGCATCACTCATCATCTGAAGCTGCAGGACGTGGACCTGTGGGCACTCAGTGATGCTTGGGCTGCTGCGAGAGCGCCTGGAGTCCCGGGAGCACAGCGGGAGCACAGCGGGAGCACAGCGGGAGCACAGCGGGAGCACAGCGGGAGCACAGAGTAGGCCGTCCTGCCATTGGGAGTTTGGTTGAGTTACAAGCAATGGGAATTTAGATATGTTTATGTTTTAGGTTTTTTTTAACAAAAAACGTGGACGATGGTTGGTTGATCTTTATAGGGGTCTTGCTACCCATAAAGTGTATGTATATCATGTATTTACTATATATATATATTATATACATTATTGGCAATTATAGGAGATCAGAATCCATGGACTGAACATCTTCATTAACTAACCATTAGAACGGTTTTCCCATTACGTTTTGATACGCTCACTTGAGCAGTTCATCCACTAGAACTATTTGGCGGACT